AGTGGAAGAAATTTTCCACTTCTTGGAGCTGGGAAGGTGTCGGCCAACGTCTTGCTTTGGGTTGTAACATTGTGCTTGAAGTGGATGGGGCCCCACTTTGGGCAGTCAAGAAGCCACGCGCTTCAGCAGAGGTGCAGAAGGTGACCTGTTGTGCTGAAGAAGCTGAGGTTGATTAGAGAAAAGGGAAGCTGGGAAAAGGGATAAAGATCTTGCAGTGCATGAAACCAGCAGAGAGGAAGGAAATAAGCTGTTCTCCATGCTTGCTGTCTCCTGTGGAGAGGGCAAGGAGCAATGGGTTTACATGGTGGGAAAAGAGATACAGGTTAGACATAAGAAAAAGCCTTCTAAATACAAGTATGGAGAAGCATTGGGTTGAGTACCTGGAGAGGGAGGTACAGTCTCCATCACTGCCTAGAGAAACATTTGTCAGGAATGATTTTTGTACAGTCAGTCCTATCTTGTGGCAGGTGGATAGTCCATGTAGATTTTTAATGTTCCTTCCAGCCTCATTTTCCATGCTTGCATGGTTTAGCCCTGTCCATCTCCCTTAATGCAATATCCAGATTTATAGCAGGCAGCTCATCCAGCCTTCCCTGTCACTGAAATTTTGGAAGGAAACTCTTGACTGTTAATTTTGTATCTGCTTCATTCCCAGCTGTGCTCTGAGGATGCTGCTGTCCCCTTGGGAAACAGTCTTCTGCTTTCTCCCCTCCCTCGGTGACTGCCTTAGGGAAGAGATGGATTGTGTCATGTGTCTCACTTCCCCTCTTGATAGGGAAGAAATGCGTTGTTATATAGCTTCTACCTCATTTCCATTTTGGAGAGATGCTGCTGTGGAAAACCTTATTTCAGCAGAGTTTGGAACCTTAACCTGCTGGAGAAGAGAAAATGTATCTGTACTACCCAAATACCTTTTTCCCCATCCCAAGTTGTACAGCCTAGGGAAAAAGAGAGCTTCATCACGGAGATGAAAGTTGACATCTGGGTTCACTTTCTGTAGAGGATGTTCTCTATGGAGAACAGTGAGAGAAGCTGTTAACACCATCTGCAGATGAGGGATGTAGTAGTCAGCTGTCCTGCTGGTGGAAGTCGGTGTAGTTGGAAGGATTTGGGGCTGTTGGGCACTGCCGTGACATGAGCGGTAGGTAGGGCTGGTTCCTTTTTTTCCCCAGTTATAAATACATCTGTATTTTCCTACTAAACATCAGTAAAGGTAAATATACGAGTTCCTGTGCATGTTTAGTACTATTTGTTATGCTCTGTATAGAAGTTTGTCGTGTGTTTTAAAGACTTACAAGAGGAGGCCGTCTCGCTGCAAACAACTCTTGTGTTAAATAATCCGTGTAGCAGCGGGTTGGGCGAGCGGAGAAAGGACGGAAATTTATTGGGCAAATCTGGTCGAACCCTTTTCCTAGGTTGGCATTTTAAAGAAAGAAAGGCTTCCAAAATCCTATTCCACGGCCAGATAGAAACCACCACCGTACATGCTTTACACCCAAAGAAAAGAGTGTGTTTATGCAGAAAAGGGGGAGAAGAGCGACTACCATGAGGAGTGTGAAAAGCGTTAACGGGCTCTTCCTTAACAGCAAGGGAAACAAGAGATGTGCTTGAGCCCTTAGCCAGCAGCATTGGCTGGGGATCAGGTAGTGCATCAGCTGTCTCTTGTCGACGGGGCAACAAGTCCTAACGCTACTGGCGAAAATGCAGGCGAAAGGCTCTAGCGCAACCACTTCAGCGCCAGGCAGAGCCTTAAGCGAGCATGTTTTCTGCCTGGCCAAGGTTGATGTCTGGTGTGGACAGTTCTTCTCCCCACGGAAGTTCTTGGTTGGTTTTTTGCTACCTGGATCCATGGTGGGGTTTTTTTGTTTTTGTTTTTTTGGGGGGGTTTTTACATTCCTTCCCCAGGTCGGCTGTTTGTTTGCACCCTGTGCCAGTGGGAAACCTTCACACCCAACTCTGCCGAACGCTCGCTCCACCGCAGAGACCCGTGGTGGGAAGTGCTTTCATCAGGAGCGATGTAGTTTAATGTAATTTAAACTACATTTTGCTATCATTTTTAATTTTTGCTTTCCGCAAACTTGCTGGAACTAGAATTAATTGGAGTGACAATGTGATGAAAACAGTTTAGCCCAAATATTTGATGATGTTTATGATTCCCAGCTGATTTTTATAGTATTTCTAAGTGTGATATGAAATTTTGCCTTTAATGACAAGTCATGGCTAATTACATTGTTTCTCCAACTCGAGACAGAAATGACATCACATGATTTTTATTTAATTTACAAAAGATGAGCAGAATACATTTTGAGTTTGTAAAATTCCCAATTTTGACAACGAGCAGATCAAAAGTTACTCTCTTGCAATTTGCCAAAAAACAAACTCACAAAATCAAATCCATGTTTTTACTTGTCGTTATCTTTCGGTAATGTTTCAAACATTACTGTCCAAGGCAGACAGTAGGAAGAAAAATATATATTTTTAATAAACACTTCTATGTACTATGTATAAGCGAGGGAGAGGACTTTGAAAAGGAGAAGTGGTAATTAGGCTCCAAACGACAATCTGGAGTCCAAGGGAATTCGGTACCTGCCCATTTGTACCTATAAAAAAATTCCCTGCAAGAAGTCCTGCTGCTTTTATGTATATTTGGACTCGGCCATTTGGTTTGGTTTCCTTGGCGTTTGTATCGCAAGCTTCTTCAGAGAAATAAATTCACAAGTGTTTGCCTGTCATCACATGACAAGTTACGGAGCCTAGATTGATGTAATCAGCAACAGACACACGTCAGAAAAGTTAATGTGGTTCAGAAGAATACAATATTTTATTAATTCCTCATTTTGTGTGTGTCTGTGTGTGTGTGTTTTAAATGAGCCTCAGGGGGTTCTTTACTTCTGCCAAGAAAGAAGAATAATTCGTACAAGTTTATGTTTAACTGCACCACAATTGTGGTGGAGAGCAGTGGAGTTAGGTTGCCCTTAATGACAAATATCTTTATAAAGAGTCACTTTTATTAAGAAAGTTAAAACTTATTGTGCGTTTTGAAGTTATTGCTCTCTGTGCGTCAGTAGCCCTATATGAAATTGTTAAACATGTAGTAAAATATTTGGATGGATAGCTTTCATAACTATTAGAACTAGGCGCGCACGAGTGTAAAATTTGCGCACCTCAACAGGACGTCGTCCGTAAGAGAGAGGCTGTCCGAACACCTCCAAAAGACTTGTTCGGTTTTTTTGGGGGGAGGTGAGTCTTGTTGTTTGGGTTTTGGTTTTTGGCGTGATGTAATATCCTGCAGACAGCAAAGCCGTGATAAGGGACTGAAGCCATAGTGGGAGTAAGCGCAGCAGGGAAACCTGAGCGAACGCCGGCTGTAACGATCCGGGAACCGGCATCCAGGCTGCGGGTGCCGCGGAGCTCGGTGCCGGTATCCGCGTTCGCGTTAGCTCTGCCCCTGCAGCGCCGGGCGGCATCTAATTGATTCTCGCTGAACTACAAAGTAAATAAAATTAATCAGACTCATGCTGGTGGAGCTGCGGCTTTGCGTTGCAGGAGAAAGCATCAAAACGGACTTCCAGGGAACGCTGAGTTTCTTAGGAATACGGACGGACCTGGGAAGTCTGAAATAAGCAGCGTACTTCTGCAAGGTGGGGAAGAACAACGGTGTAGTCCAGCTTGTTAACTTGCAGGTTTTACTTTTAATTGGAACTGGCGATCTTATGTAAAATCACTTTGTTGTAGCTAAGGCTAAAGGAAACTTCAGTGAAAAACATTGGTTAGAGAAGCAAACTAAATTGTGCACCCAAAAACGTGGCAAAAATTCACGCAAAAATGGTTCAATGAGCATGTATCGCTTTCCTTAGATTCTGGTCAAGCCTCAGTGTCTAATACACGGTACTCAACTAACAGACTGGAGTGATGCTAAATAGACTCTTCTGGCTGTGTTAAAAGGGACGGGGGAATGAATAATATAGTTCACCTGCAGGAGAAGTGACTTCTTGCATTTCAGCAGCATGCATTAAGTCCTGAGGCTTTACCAACTTTGGTAAAGCCTGGTTGCATTCTCTCGGGGAAGTGCTTGGTATGCTTTGGAAACCATAAATAAATAATCTTGCTGTGGAGCCTTGCTAAACAGCGCAAACGACTATATTGCTCGCTCAGGTGAGTGTCACAAGTCAGAGAGCAAATGAGGAATTGTTCTTTATAAAGTTACCGCAGCCTGTTTTACCCGTTGTGCTTGGGCTTTGCATGCATAGCGCACAGAGGTGCGAGCCGGAGCCTTCTTCAGTGCTGAAGGAGGAATTCTTAGAGTTTCCCAGAAAAGCTAACGTTGGGAAAATGACCTCCCTTGTGACAGGAGACTGGACCGGTTGCCTTTCTGTGCTGTTTCTTTTGGGTGTGCTGCTTTAGCATCTTTATTGAAAGATGGGTGAATGGGAATTGCTTGGAGTGCTAATAATGGCTTAATTCACCCAAGAGGAGGTGAGTTTGCACTTCTTACGTTTCCAGGTAGTGGGCCACTTTGAGAAGGAATTTGCCGTTAGAATTTTTGAGTTGCATATTACTTAGTTACCTGGTTCAGGCAAATTTTGTACTCCTTGGCAGTTGTGTTTGGAAATTCAAACGTTTGAAAGTTTGTTGAGACATGCATCCAAAAGGTTGATCCACTGCGATTTTAATTTTTTTGCTTTTTCTTCATTTTGTTTTGCAGGTATTCCTTTGGTAAGTGAATATAAATGAGAAAATCTGCAGTAGTAATTTATTGGCGCGTTTGTGGGTATGTAGTTTTTACATTACTCTAGCTTACTTTCTTTCGCTCAAATATATAAGTTACAGTTGTCTTTATTTTCCACCTTTCATTGAATTTCTTTCTCCCTGCATGCCCTTAAGGAAGGGAAAACTGGTATAAAATCTGTAAGTTGAGACTGAAGGAAACTTGGTAGAAGGGTTGTGTAACCACTACCAGCATCATTTGGGGGTGAGGGATGACGTTAGCAATGAATAGTTAAATAAGCGTGGGATTACAAAGTGAAGCAAGATTTAAAAGACGCTTCCTGGGGGGGTATCTCTAGGTCCCAAATTCTAATTCCATTTCCACCAACGATTTGTATTATCATCAAGAACCTCGTATTCATTTCACTTATTTTCCCACTGGCATGCGGTGTAGGTATGATTCCCTCAGAGGGTCTGGGAGATTGATTAATATTTGTTACAGTGCTTTGCACAGATTTGTTTTTGTTTCAGTGTAAAGTATTCTTACCCACAGTCAGATGTCTAAATGGAAACTTAGAAGTCCCAGTAGAAAACTTGTTCCTCCTAGTAGAAATATTAGGAAAACTGCTAGTATATGTTTGGTTTTCTGGGAAGTATTGGCATGGCATAATGTCCTAAACCAGCCTGTTGTTGACTGTTATGTAGTGCTTTCTCACCCTTCTAACTTGGTTCTCGGTGTGCTGCATGGGTAGGGAGGAGAAGCGTGCTTTGTCACTGTGTGAATGAAGAATAGACTCATGTTCCCAAGCTGTCACTAGGCTAGTCACAAACATAAATTTGTTTAGCCTAAGTTAAAGCCATTTGTTTCTATGCGTTATTGATGCTTGCAAAACTGATGACTGAATATTCCTCCCCTCCTTCAAGGAATTGCACCCTCCTTCTCGTTTACTGATTCGTCATCTTAATAGGTTGTAAGTGGACTTACCACTCTGGTGTACTTGGGATCATTGAGGAAATGCTTGGAGAAGCGGAGGAGTATGGAGAATTGTGTTTACTCCTGTGTATTTTTGATAACTTCCAGGTCTGATGTGGATCTTTATTTTAACCAGCTGGACTTTACAATATGAATACACACCTTTGTTAAGTTGGTGAGGACACCCATCAGCTTTAACGGAAGTCATTCATCTCCTGTGTATGTGTTCCACTTTCATGGATGGTTGCAGGAAAAAGTGCTTTTCCCAGTTGTCTCCCCCCACCCCTTACTTTGTCCTTTCTCTGTGCCCTGCCTGGATAGCCACCCTATGAGGGTTAGTAAAGTCCTTTGTTCGCGGTAGGGTCTCTCCCTTCCTTATTTTTGGCTTAAGTGCTATTTCTGAATAAGATGAATGAGATGTAAATCTTAAGCTACTTTTGTTAGAATACAGGAAAACCACAATATTTTTGTTATAATATAGCTGAAACAACAACATTGTCATCCATTACTGTAGAAGTACATTAAATATTGCTGAGCTCTGGAAGCCTTATTCTTTGGTAGCATCTACTTCAAAGAAGGATCTTAAAAAAAATTCCCGGAGAGATCTTTGTAAATGCTGACTGTTTCCTATTCCCCTCCAGGAAGTGTGCTTTTTTTGATGCATCTTAGGATGGATTTTGGTAGCGTCTATTAAAACTGCAGGCTGTCCCTATGAATTTTAAAGAACTCCAGAGTCTGGAAATAACAACAAGCTGTTAGGCCAAATGGGATCAACTGGTATTGCCACAGGTTTTGCTCTTTGCTCTTACTGCTGTCAGGTAACAGTTATTAAAAACACCCCTCACTTCAGGGAATGAACTGTGAAACGGCCATGCAATAGCTCTCACAATGCAAAGCACAGGCCTGCATTTGACTATTTATCTTTAAAAGGTGAAGAGGTGCTCTGCAATGCAAATCCCGTAACGGGCGCCGGCCTGGAAATTAGAGCTGTTCTGAAATTAGTCGAGTTGTAATAACTTCTTGGCTTTATTTATTGTTATTCAGATATAAATTTGGCTTTAGACTTAGCGTGGCATGTTTTAGTGAGCTTGCGGTGCTGAAAGGACCAGGCTGACCGCTGTGGCACCTGGGTGGGTTTCATTGGATCCCTCCCTGCAGACAGGCCCAGCTCAGGCATGCGAGAGTCCCTACCAGCGGACTGGAGCACATGCTTTCGCAGGGCCTTTTCATCCCTGTTTGCTGCGGTTCAGTGCTCTGCTTGGTGGTTACGCATGGCCTCTCCTCCAGCGGGACTGCTCTTTGGCCAGAGTGCTCTGAATTGATTTGGTCCTTCCTACCTGGGCTGAGATTGCCGAGAGTCTTGATGGATGGAGCCGCTCTGTCCTCAGTGGAGCACACCTGCAGGGCCAGCGGCCAGGCTCTCTGCCTGGGGAGCTGAGCTTTCATGGCAACTTAATCCTGGGTCTCTGCCCTGAGCTTTGCTGTCCCAAGGGCTTTCCTTCATGGCCCTCTCTGTACAAGCCCCTTAATGGCCTGTCTTGGGGAGCTGCTTTCTAGGTGCACGTTGACGACCCGCCGTGAGCCAGCTGACCCTGCTCAGCACCTTTAGGCCTGGCTCAGCTCCAGCCAAGGTGGACCCTCCCTCTCTCTAAAGGTCGCAGCAGTGGTGCAGAGACTTGGAAGAACTGGCAAGATCAACTCATGATTTTATCCTTCTTAAAATTAAGGACATCTTTTTCTGCTGGCTTAGAATGAGCCTGAAACTACTCAACAGATTCACGTGTATCCTCGTGATGTGGACAGCTTTGCTGTTTCTAACCCTTTCTGAACAAGGCTACGCTAGTTCCTGATGATCCTACTTGTTTCTGTCAGAATTACCCCCAAGGATGTTTTTTTTCCATTTGAGGCCTAATTTAATGTAGTGACTTTTTAAAATGTTTTCCGATTACCTCTGTTCTAACAGAGGCTTTGACAAAGATGCTCTTTTGCAGTCTTTCTTACCCCCTTTTTTTCTATTCTGCCTTTTATTGTGCTAAGCAGCCCCACGTATTTGGAAGATAGTTTGGCCTGATGTATGTCCTGAGATACTAGAGCAGTGATGCTGGCAGAAGGAGATGTTGGTGGAGAGAGAAGCAGAGATGCAGACAGGCTGAAAAGATCGTGTGACTTGTAATGGACAACTGCTTGTGTGTAGAATAAAAATCCAGGTGTGGGGTGGGAAAATGGTGCAATCATTTTAGGAGGTGCTGACTCCACATTGTCCTCTTGCATGGTCCTTGGATACCTCTTGAAGTAGCAATTTTGATTCCCAGCAAGAAACACTCCAACCTGTTAAAAGACAGAAATGTGGCTTTCAGTTATCAGAAGGAATTGAGAAACGGCTGATCTTATTATCTTATTTGACTTGTGATGCACAAAAGTGTCCTATTTAAAGCCAAAGGAAATGTTTCCTTGGGGAGAGTTCCAGAGGACCTTGCTTCTATGCTCTTTGCGGGCCAACAGTATGGACAATTGGAAGTAGATTTTGAAAATAAGAGTAGTTTTGTTTTTTAAACTGTGACTTTTTGTTAATTTCTGTGGGGAAAGACAATTAGAAGTTCACCAAATATAGAATTAAACTTGTAATTTTTCTGTTTTCTGTAAACATGGAATGAACAAATAATTTAGTTCGTACCTATGCTTGCCCCCAAACTTTATATTGCAGCTATTATTTCAGAATTTAAGATGAACCTTGTTTTGGTTAGAAACAGAATAAAAAGTTGAGAGCCAAATGTGTGTAATTCTCCATTACTTGTTAAATCCTCGCTCTTTACTTCAATGCAAATTGTTCCAAGGAGGATTTTCTTTTAAAAGGTCTTCAGGGATCTTGAATTTTAGATATGCATTGACAGAACATGAAATGTTAGAGTGCACAGCTGGGGTTCTGGCTTTTGCTGTTCAAAATTGAGATGTTTTTCCTTTGTGAATGTATTTCTGAGGAAGGAGTAAAGTTCTCGTGTTTGTTGCACTACATTAGTGTGAGTATCACTGGGGTCGTGGAAGAAAATGAGAGTGAGTAGAAACGACTAAGGTCAAACTTCACTAGTGGAGTTCTAAAGCTTAATTTAAAAGCGCGCTGCAGTTTACTGAGATGGGGATATCTGGGTTGAACTGTGCCCAAAACTGAACAGTGTGTAGTTTCCGACCCACCTCAAAGTTGTGCACGTGTCAGGAAGAGAGTTCAGAGAGGGAAAGGTTTGGGTTTTTTGCATGGTAGCACATAAGCGTTGTGTTAGCCCAGGGTGGCATTTGATACTTTGGTAGCTTACTGTACGTGAGGCATGTGGGTGAGGAGGGACAGAGAGGTGCTATCGGTAGGACGCGGAGGCTGGGTTGGTTCATGTTGTTCCTGGAGGACTTCATGTCCTGCTAACAGCACGAGGCTGCGAACCCTCAGCGCGAGAGTCCCAGCAAGCCCTTGGGAATCGCGGCCGGCCTGGAACACCCATATGGCCATATACTTGTATTTATCCTCCCCCACCCTGAGATGGGAGGGACTGGCTTACAGTTGTTCCTTTTCCTGGCTCATATTGTGATCTGGTGTTCCTATTTCTCATGTAAGAGTGGGAAACTTTTCTCTCTGTCTTATTAAATCTATTTTTCAAGCTGTCACTTAACCAGGTCTAGTGACAGAGTCGGATGTTTATGTGGCCCTGGACACTTGAACTCTGGTGTTTTCAATCACAACAGCACCTTTTGCCAGCCGTTGTGAATTAAATACTCCTCGTGACCTTTTACCCTCGCCGCTCTTAAATTCATGCTTTAAAAACAGCTTAATGAGGGGTTTACTGGCCCAATTGGAAGTTTTTATTAAAACCTATTAGTGTGCTAGAGTAGCCTGCCTGAAGGAAACGATTAGCCCAAAGCAACTAAACTCGGAGCTGGCCCCTAGCCACACCAGGTTTTCACTAAACTATTTCCAGATCCATGTTAACCCTAACACTGCAGCTTGCATGGTATTCATATCCTCCGGTTTAATTTATAGCTTGTCTGATTC